AGCAGCTTGAGGGCAAGGGCAGGTTGCATCTGCGCATGCGTGCATGGCGCATGTGTGTGCGCATCACTAGTTTGTTGAGTCTGCTGTCACGTGTATCGGTTGATTTTAGTGTGGTGTGCTTTTCCTCAGTTTGTGTGCTTGCTGTGCAGTTGTGTGTGTCTGTCCCTGTTGTGCTCTGCGGGGGCACAGAAATGATTTTCTGGAGGATCCAGACTTTCCAGCTGCCTCACACTCTTTCTTGAACCATTAAAGCTGTCCAAGATTCCTCAGTTGCCTTCTGGGTGAGGCTGTTTTAGAGTCCACCCCACCCCCACCTTGTATTCAGCTTTTTTGTACGCACTTTTTTTCTGTCTCTACCAGTTTGCCTTCTGGGTAATGGGTTTTTGGTGACTCACAAAGCCCACCATGGAAGCCATTTTGTGAGAGTACCCATGAAACTTAAAATGTGCTCACAGGCCAATGCCCAACTGTGTAGTATGGGAATTTCTTCCAATGTTTCCCGTAAATAAAAAACCAAACCCCAATTTTTATCAGGGTCAAAAAGACAGAGGCCTTCTCTTGTCAGTGGACAGGATAAACAACTGCTCCATCTATTCTTTTAATTATTTGAAAAGTCACAGCATCTCTCCTACTCAGTCCTTCATATCTCCTACACAATAGCAGCTTTGCCGGATCATACTGAAGTTTTGCCTTCTCTAACTTAGATCCTTCTAGATGTTTGGCCATGCAAGCTTGTGGCCCAGTACAAATGGAAGGAACCTGACTAGAGAAGGCTAATCTAATCCAAAATCCTCTTCACACCCATGACCAACCAGGTGACTCTGAGAAGCTTACAGGTATGGCATGTAAGCAAAATCCCCCCAATTGTTTTCTCATATAGTATGCAAAGCTACACGGATTCTGTACTGTATGCCTGGCAAAAGGTGTGGGAACAGTTAAATTCCTCTTCTTGCACTCATGGGCTGGATCAATACTGCATAAGCGCATCCTCATGGCTAGCATTAAGCACACTTTTTAAAACATAAACTAAACAAACTGTGTCATTTGGGACAGGGTGATCTTTTGCTGCACTTCCCCAAGAGAAACTTTTCTCTGTCTTGCTCAGAGGACAAAGAGTCATGCAGCTCAGCAGCAGGATTGCAGGATAATTTGCTTCGATGGGTGAGCTGCAAAGCACAGAATACCGTGGCACTCGCATTTGAATCTGTGAAGATCAGGAGAAAGCTTGCATTTGGGAAGATTGCCATCTGCTGAGGAAAATGGAGCACAGCATTGCCCAAGACTGAAGAGGGGCGGCATGGCTTGGAACAGAACAGGTACGACTGCAGTCTAGCAAGCCCACCTGGAGCTCCTTGGGGTTCCACCAAGATGGGCAGAGGACAGGGCTATGCAAACAAAGGCGCGCTCAGTTCCCAACAGCTTCTGCTTAGCGCAGTGAGCTAGGCAGAAGCTGAACTCTGGAGCACAACTGCGGGGGAGAAAACCTGCTCTGCCGCACAGAAGCCAGCCTAACCAAGGGGCCCAAGTTTATCATGGAAACATGGCCATAAAGGGTGGTAGGAAGTCAGAGAGTTAAAGCTGGCCTTAACGTTTCAGAAGCTAAAGCATGCTTGGACTGGGTAGGCCTCCCTTCTGCCACTGCAATTTGTATTTCTGTATCTTAAACATATGCGTACACCTACACTGTCCATCTACATTCTGGTGTTCTGCTAAGTGGATGTACATTGGGCACGGCTGAAATCCAATACCCAGTTACCTGAAAGAAAACCAGAATGATTTCAATGAGACTTATATTCAGTAGACACCTATAGGATTGCTATAGTTTTTTAAGTGGTTATATATAGGAATAGCAAAGCAAATGAGAATAGTCCATCAAAGTGCCACTAATGTGATTTTTATTAAGGGTTTTTTTTAATGCAGCATGCATACCCACATGCCTAAAGAAATGATGCTTGGACATTTTAACCATCTTTTCAGCAGTTACCCCACCCCTGATTTGTGGAATCCCCCCCCCCCCCCCAGGTTTATCAAACCCCAACTTAATTCTTTTTGGATCCAGGCAAAGCTGGTTTTTATTCTCCCAAGACTTTTAATTTCCAGTAATTTCTATTCGAATGTCGTTCTTTAGTCATTTTATTTCAGTTATAATTTTAGTTACTCTTCTTGCAATGACAATTGTTCTAGTCTCTGCTGCTTTTGTTTTATTATGCTGCTTTTGATTTTATATGGATATGTGATTTGTTTTGATTGAATGTTGCCCTGAAAATTATTAGCCATACGACAATTCATAAATCTTAGAAACAAATAAAAGCAGTTACAAAGCCATGTTAAAAGAACAAGAGTGAACTGTTATTAATTGGAAACTGGAATGTAGTCTTTTAAAAACTGCCAGGAAAACAGGGTCCATTTTAAAGATTAGGAGGGAGAGAGATCTGAAGAACATATATTCAAGTTAGAGAGCTATATCACAGCAAACTTCTCATTGACTAGTTACTTCAGAGCAAAAAGTGCTTCCTCAAATGAGAACACAAAACCACTCAAAAGCTCAAAATTTCAGAAGTAGTTATTGCATAAATCCATAAGTTCATGGAATGTCATGAATTCCAAAACCACAATCTTAATTTCAAGGGTCTATCAATTTAAAGAAGGCTAGACTGGCACAATGTATTCCCAGATGTTGGAATGCTTGCTATTACACCAAAATGAATTAGTCTATTTTCTATGAAAGAGCAAGACAAAACCCTTGCGATATGATCTGTGAATACACATTGCAGACTAATGTTTGCTTAGCTTCCAGACCAATAAACAGGAGGTAACTGAATGTACTTAAAAATCCACTTCAGACCTTCTGGTGGGAATGTAGGTGGAGCTGTCATACCAGTGCCCCGTTTCCGACATGTTTTGTGCCCTCACTCATTCAGACGGTAAAAATATCAGCTCTTCAGTGCAATCAGAAAGGTTTTTGATTTAATCTTTGAGGAAATGGAAAGGCAAGGTTGCATAGCTTTGTGCATGGCCTTTAACAGGAGGCATGTTCAGTTTCCAGGAGTAACAAGGCAAGCAGGAGTAGCATGAGACTTGGGCATATTTCAGCCCTACTGCGCAAGTCGCTCCTGGCCGTAAGAGGCCCACAGGATCTACATATTTACGAGGGGAGTTCAATGTATTCTTGGTATCGGGTTGATTTGCTATTGATGTGGGTAATTTGTTTCATTAGTTAATGACACTATCTGAGGGTATACATGCAAAATTTCAAAGAAGTGTGATCATTAGTTCCCTAGTAATCCTCAGTGAAAGACGACCATGATGACTGAGGCGACAATGTTGAAGAAAATGGAGCACCGCGCTGTGATTAAGTTCCTTACAAAACAAGGAAAAAGTCAAAAAATCATTCACAAAGAGATGGTGGCTGTTTACCAGGACTCTGCACATTCATTATCTACTGTTCAAAAGTAGTCAAGTGAATTTAAAAGGGGCAGAGAAAGCATTGAAGATGACCCTCACTCGGGCGGGCTGGTTACCGCCACTACGAAAGAAAATGTGAAAAAAATTGAGAAACTTGTATAGGAAGATGCCCGAATAAAAATCAAAATGTTAGCAGAGATGACAAACGTATCCATTGGTACCACATTTACTATTTTTCATGACCATCTTAATCTTTCAAAGGTCTGTGCAAGATGGGTGCTGCGAATGCTCATGGCGCCTCAGAAACAAGTGCGAGTTGAGTGCTGTAGGGAATTTTTAGAGCTCTGTGGTGAAGATCCATTGAGTATTTTCGACCGGATTGTTACTGGAGATGAAACCTGAGTTCATCACTGTGACCCTGAAAGTAAGCAGGAGTTCATGCAGTGGCATAAAAATGGTGCTGACCCTCCGACGAAATTCAAAGTCACTCCAGCGGCCGGAAAAATCATGGCCACAGTGTTTTGGGACTCAAAGGGAATTTTATTGATCGAGTACACGAAAAAAGGTGAAACCATAAACGCAGCATCTTACGCAACCACTCTGCATAATTTAAGAGAAACAATTAAAGAAAAATGGCAGGGAAAACTGATTGTAGGTGTGTTGCTTCTTCAAGACAACACGCCCATTCACACAGCGCAGGTTTCGAAGGCTGCTGTGCGAGACTGTGGTTTTGAAGAAATAAACCACCCACCCTATAGCCTGGACCTGGCCCCCAGTGACCACTACCTATTCCCGAATTTAAAAAAAGATCTTTGTGGAAAGTGATTTTCCGACAACGAAGAGCTCCAGGCGGCAATTAACGCACATTTTTTAGACAAGGAGGAAGGGTATTTTTTACAGGGGATTGAAACGTTAATTTCTGGATGTAATAAGTGTATTGAAGTTATGGGGGATTATAATGAAAAATTATTTTTTTTCAATGTATTATTCCTTTTTCTTCATGCTGATACCAAGAATGCATTGAACGTCCCTCGTACGTCTCCTTTAGCATGAAGGGGGCAGGACTGCACATGCCATGCCCGCTCCAGGGGATGCTGCTTGGGATGATTTATGTTGTTAAAATTGCATTTCTGTGATGATGCACATTATGATCTTAATGGATGGATGGAGAAGTAGTTACCACCAAGTTTTCAATATATGGTTGATTGCTCCCACTGACCTTGAAAATTCTGTTTTCATTTGTGTTTTCAGTTGGCATGTTCTACATGGAAGAGGATCATGGTGTGCAATTGGATGATTTTATTAGCTACTGTTTCCATGAACTTGATCTTACGACGACAGAAACACTCAAATATTCTGACATCCCACCCACAGACCAATTTCTAGAAAGGATGAATGCCCTTAGGCACTACATGGCATGAATTATGTTTTGGTTGTCATCTGATTTCATGGGGAGGTGTGTTTAGTTTGGCAAAATGCTACATGTTGAGAGAAATCCTGATCCCCCCCCTAAAAAACCCCCTACCCAACTTTAACACATCATGACCTCTGTAAGTCCTGTAAAGGGCAGTAAGGAGAAGCAGTGCAGGAAGCTCTTGTTTTCAATATGGAGGACTTTAATCTTTAAATCTGTGTTCATACTTCCTTGACAATCAAAGGACAAGCTATTTAGCCAGTTAAAGATATTATTAATCACTGATGCAGTATTTCTTCAAATACATATATTTATTTTGTTGCTTCTCTATCATAGTAAGTCAGGGTAACAGAACCCTTGGCCATAATTCACACCAAGGTATGGTTATCATTTCTGGCTGTCCAAATGCGGCTGTTACACTATTATAAACCTTGTGCTCCACTGTAATCAGCACACTAAAGCAGCAATTTTGCGCACACTTATTTGGATATAACTTCAGTTAACCAAAGAGACTTGTTTCCAAGCAAATGTATATAGATAGGATACTAGACTATTCATTTTTTAACAGCCCACTGCTAAGAAGAGTATCCTCTTAGACAGGTTTGTGGAATAAAATGCAATCAAGACAGTAACAATAGTAGCCAATAAGATTACTACTGATTTTTTGTCAGGCAGTATAACAACAAAAGCTACATTCACAGTCAAGTCCAATAAACCAGATCCTGAACACAAACTTCTTCCTCATATGGGAGTTGACTGTTGATCATTATGTTACAAGGGCAAAATGTTCTATGTCAATTTGCCACACTATTTTCCAGTCTTGATAATGCTATAAGACAGCTGCCAAACAGAACCATTATAATCCACATGTACTTGAATAACCTTCTTTCTAAAAATGTCTAATATCTTATTAACACTTCTATTAGAAGATGGTAACCAGTATCAGATATTAAAAGCAAAATATATGAATATATATTTAAGTAGCATGTTACTAAAATAACTGACATTTAAATATACAGCATAGCATTGTTGTCATGAATTTAATGCAAAATTATAACTAGGAGCAAAATTGACATAATATATTGAGTAACTGTATCCCTATACTTAACATCACAATTATTTAAACCTAGAAGTGATTTCACATAAGTTTATCAGATTTTGTCTAATAGTCTGTATTAAATATTCAAGTTTTCCACATGAAACCCTGGACATAGAAACACTAAAAAAAATTCTAATTTGCAATGAAAGTTTAAGAATACTTGTGGATGAGCATTTAAGAAACAAAAAAAATTAAAATAGTCACCAGGCAGCAAATAAAACAAAATCATTTAAAAATCACATCTGTTCGTCTGCAAGTCTCATGTTGGAACTGAAATAAAGTGTCAAACATGCAACCTGTCACATGGATCGAAAGCAAAAAGCTACATGTGCTAGAAAAATGTGATTTCCTTGGCAAGAGTGTTAACATCCCTGGAAAAGTGATGTGTAAAGTGTCCCTTTGACTTGGCACAAATTCTCTTCCTTTGAATTTATCCAGAATTAAACAAGGCAGACCTGCTCCCTTGAAATCCTGTTGCAGTAACCCTAAAATGCCAAGAGAGAGAGTGAGAAATGCTTTCTCTACTACTAATAAAAGCTGAAATTGACTAAATAGTATTTCAGAAAAAAAGTTACAGCAAGAAACAAAAGGAGGCTGTTGAACATAGCTGTCAGTCATCCATGAGTGTGAAAGCCTGTTTATTAAATATTGGAAAATTTTACCAGAATTGTCCCTTTATTCTACAACTACTGATTATAGCAGTGTGTTTCATTATCAGTCAGCATAATTATGTTTGTAAGTTATACTTGAATTGCTATGTAACAAAATAAAACTCAAGCAGCCCAACTTTCCATTTAATTTAGCAGCCCATAATTAATAACCCAAATACAAAAGGTGCCAAGGGCAAATGAAAAACTGTCACCTCAACCTATATGTATAATCATAAATATACAATATTACATGAATCCAGTAAACATTCATGATGGATAGTTTTGGTCCTTAAATTACAGAAGTTGTTTGTGCCTTCAGATATATCTACATCATACCAGTAAGGGACTAAACCTGGACCCATGCCCACAAAATGGGCATCTGTCTGCAGGTTCCATGTGAGAGATTATAACAGTAAGAGACTGATCTAGACAATAAGAATGTCTACCTCTTTTAGAGTACAAATGTATTAAAAAAGGTCTTTCTGTGATAATATGCCAAATATCCTGTATGGATGTCAATTTCCTCAACATATATTCATAACTAAGTTCAAGTGTGAAGGCACCCCCTTCAAAAAGGTAAGAGGAGTACCAAATCTACTCACCCTTGGAAGTGGAAAGATCAGTTGGTTAAATATATACAATGGAATAAATAACTAAATTGCTACTTTTATTCAAGATTTCTCTCTCTTTTTTTACTGTAACCTTGCACAATTGAAAAATAAACTGAGAAAGACTTCTTGCATATATCCTAAAAACAGTTTTAGAGGGCAACCAAAAATGCCTTTCCTTAATTTGTGTAGACTTGCATTATCAGTATATTGCACTGAATTCCACCTAACATTCATGAAATGACTTTAAGCCATTCATTGTTTTGGCTATGATATGATAAGTCAGATCTTTGGTATGTACATTGAAGCTTCAAATCCAAATACACAACTACGGCTACCAGCAGCCAAGTTTTTTTAAGTCCTAATTGAAAAAGATATTGCAGAAATTCAAGCCTTCATGAAGTGCTGAAACTGAACAGAACCATCAGTTTCATGCATAAACAATATTAGTCTTCTCATAAAAAAATAAAGTGTTTGAATTACTCTTTATTGCACCAACGTTTTTAAAATACTCTCTTTTTGTGTCAAGCATTAAATTAATTCTTTTATAAACAAAATAGAATGTCTTCTTCCAAAATGTGAAGCAGAGATATGGATGTAGACCATAGAAAAAAGAAGCACTCAAAAGGATGACAAACGTTCAAATATCACAAATGATAGAAAATATAAACGACATCTCTTTTGTTACATCATTTACATGATTTTTGTAAGCTTTCAAACATTAACTTGTAGACACTTGCATTACACATCACCCTCAAACGACATCAAGGCGTTGGAGCAGGAGTCACTTTCAGACTGTTAAGTGCTGCATGGATTCTGAAGTGTAACCTGGATTCCATGGAATATTCCTTATAATTGTTTCTGCAAAAAGTGGAAACAAATTAGTAGGACAATGACTCCCACCAGCATTTCTTTGTTGCTGTTGTTGTTCCCTTTCATTCAGAAATAACAGAAAACTAAAGAAAGAAAATTATGATGCAAACCTATGTAGAAATTATTACATCTAAACTCATGATCTATGGATGAACACGCTCAAGCAAGGCTTAAGACTGTCTGTTGAAGGCTTAAGACTCTCCAAGTCTGTCTGTTGAAATAAGGCTGGCAAACAAAAGCAACCTTCTCTCCTGTGGTCCAAACTTATGGAATTCTTCGATAGGGAGCTCCAGCCAGCTCCTCCTCCTCCTCCTTTCATACGGACTGCAAAAATGTGAAAACTTTGAAAATCTACCTTTCAGGTAGCCCTTTCTTGGGTAATCTATCGTGTTGTTTATAATGCATTTGGAAATAACTGGCACTGAGTTCAAGGGAATGCACTCAAAGGCAAGTGAGCACAGGACTGCAGCCTTAGGAGGCAATTCTAGGAAGATTTTGAAGGAAAAAAGTTCTGCACTCCAAGCATACCCTAGCCACCTAATTACCTGTGTGCTACTTTAAGTGCTGAAACTGCCACTTTAAATGTTTGTCTACGATGTGTTTTGTAAAATACTTCAATGTGTGTATTCACATTTTGTCTGAGGGCATTTTATGCAGAAAAGCAGAAAAAAGTGAAAGAAATACAAATTCTATACTACTAGCTTGCATTATTTATTTATTTATTTATTAAAACATTTCTATGCTGCCCCTTGCCGAAGGCAGAATTATTCCTGGCTGCTACCAAGAATGCGCTGTCTCTCTCTGGCTTGCTCTCATGCTGTTGTTGGGAACCCCTTTCCAAGCAGACAACACAAAACCTTAGAAGCACAGTCCTTTCATGAGCTCTACAGATTTACAGCCAGCGTAACTTAGAGTAACATCCCCTTTGATGCATGGGAGCAGCCTCCATCCATGTGAACAGCTGATTCCAAACTGGAACATGCCCCTCCTTTCCTCCTGTTCAAAAAGAACCTGACTCCACCCACAGGGAGCCTCACACTGCTTGGGGGACAGACAGTGAGAAACGGCAGACAATACTTAACTGGCCTGAAGTCTCTTGACAGAGTCCAAGAATACCCTGCGATTTCTACCCCTGCCTGTTCTATAGTGTCTCCATCCAGCTCCAAGATGATTTAGTTCTCTCACTCTAATCTAGCATGGTGACCTTGCTGTAACAGACGAGGTTATTTTCTGAAGGAAAGGCCAGTCCTAAACTTACAAAAGGCCAGTGCTTGGCCAACATCCAGAGTATGAAGGCTGACACAAGTGTAGTAAAGAGTGGAGGGAATAAGGCTAGCAGGATGAAATCCTGGTAAGAGATGGAAGTCTGGCATCACCATGGAAAGGAAGTTGGTGCTGGCTGGAGAAGCACTTTGTCTCTATGAAAGGTGTGGTAAGGAGGGCCTGCACACAAGGCACAGATCAACAGAGCAAGCAAAATAATCCCTTTGCAAGACAAGAGGCAAAGATCTATCACTGCCAGCAATTTAATCCACTTAGGAAAGAGCACCTTGCAGGATGACTGATAGACTCCAACTTGGGCTGGATCCTGGGCACCACAGAGGAACTACTTCACCTTTGAATATGAGAAGTCAGAAAAACCCTCAACTGGAAGGTAAGAAATGGAAACCACAGCCAGATAAACATGTAAGAAAGTTTTAACACTCTTTTAACTGAAGAACTTAGTGCAACCACACCGGACAGGGTTAAAATCTTCGGAATGTGAAAAGGACAGGAAAGCATCCCACTCACAGGTATAAGATCTCCTTGAGGGAATGTGAAGACTTGGGAGTACCATGCATTTCATGAAATCCTTGGGGTGACAGCAAGGTCAAGAGGAAGCACGTCCAGCTGATAGGTTTCAGTACCAATTCTGAAGCAGAGGACTCATTAGTGTGACCTTTCAGTTGTGACGTAAAAATAGGTTTCCTTCAAACTGTTCAAGACCAACCAGTCTGTCCTGGACAATATCTCAGCAAGGACAGGCGTACTGCTGGTGACGGTGGTTCGAACCATCCATGTCTCAAGACCTTCCACAAGGCATTTCTCACTCTGAGTGCTTTTATTGCATTCATGCTGGAACCTGAGTTCCTGGAGCTGTGGTACATGCCTCAGTAAAACATTGTATGGCAGTAATTCCAGGAACTAGCTACATCCTTTACTGCCCCAATAAAGATCTGTCAAGATTGGGTCTCCCAGTTGTGAAAGACAGGCCATATCAGCTTTCTATATCTATCTGCTCCCTCACAGCCTGTAGGCTCTAGGAGTCCTCGTAGAATAGTGTTCTCAGACATCTGGCTTCCCATGGCTGGCCCTGACTCAACAGCTTTCCTGTCTAGCTCAGAATTTGTGTCACAGGCTGTAAGTTATCCCAGAGCAAAGTCTCACATGGATGCTGTTCTTCACATCTGAAGACATGGTCTTCCTGTACTAAAGAAGATGTAGTGGGAAATCCGTACTGATCTTGACAACACAACAAAGGAGCAGGGTGAATTGGCTTGGGGACCAACCCTGGTTTTCCCCTCCAACATTAACATGATTGAAACCAGGCCTTGAGTTTGGGACCAGCCCAGCTATCTGTACTGGGGTTTGCAGCGTTGGTGGAATGGGAATTGAAAGCCATGATGCTATTGGTCCCATACCAATTCGGTCACCATTTTAGAGCTTTTCTTTTCTTTTTAGCCTCAAGCAGCAGCAGCTGCTAATGATTTGGAAGCGCTGGCTGTTTTTGTTAGCATTTTTGCCAAATGAAGTATGAACAACCATCCCGGTGTGGGTGGGTCTTATCTGTTCAGAGGCTCAGCTTAACTCTAATTCTGAGCTAGACCATGGGCTGATGCACTTGTGCAGGCCGTGGCAAAGTGGACCAGTCTTCAGTGTGGCTGGAAGAAGGTCTCCTCTCTCCTCTGGCACTTCTGCAGCCTCCAGGACCTTCCTCCAGAAGACAGCCATAGCTGGTGAACTTGTTTTCTCCAGGCTTGTTTGGTAAGGTGTCACTTGCGACCTCTGATCACACAGAAGAGGTACAAAGAATGTCCATCTGTCGAGGAAGCTTACTTCCACAATGGACATACTTTGGAAAAAGTTTGTCCAAGGGTGGATCACTAGATAAACAAAGAAAAGAAACTAACATAGGAAAATGAAGGGATGAAAAATGATAGACAAAAGAAAAGAGAGAAGGAAACCTTAGCAAAAATGCTTTCAGATTTGACTGAATGCAGAGAATTTTCCTAGGGGGAAAGAGAACTGCGGGAATAAGCAGGAAACTGCTAGAGACATGCACACTTGGAAAGTGGGGAAGGGCTGCTGCCAAACCTCCTCAGCTATAGAAGTTTCTCAAAATGGGGCTCCCTGATGACCTGGAGCCCATATTTGTGATGCACAGAGATCATAAAGAATTACCGTTTTATTGCAGATAGTTCGTACTTGCTTTTATTTGTTCTCTACTTGCACCCTAACAGTATTCATTCTAAGGGCAACTGAAGCATCGTTAAAGCACAAGGATCAATCCTCACCCTCTTGATGGCATTGACCATTCTGAGTACCATTTTGACAGAGTACAAATATGCACTTTTCCATTTCTTTTCTAGAAACAGGCGTGTGTCGAATTATGTGTGTAACACCCTGACCATTTTAATTCATGCAAATACTCTCAAACTCCTCCTTACTTCTTGCCATTGCATTTGAAAATAAGGTAGTACATAGAAACGGAAAGGAAATGGGACAGATGCTAAAATATTCACCCTCAACGGGAATTCACTTGTGGATGCAGAGGCTGTAAGATACCCCTGCCCCCACAATGTGGGCTTCCCTACTTATGCAAACCAATGACAAGGATACTAACTGCTAAGTGTGCTCAAGAAAAGAAGCTTGATTGTTTTGATCTGTTGAAATTGGATTGAGGAGCCATCACTTACTTTGCAGCTTCTATACATCTTATTGCTTTTTCTCTTTCATCTTGTTGTTTGTACAGAAGACCCAACTCGTACATTGTATATGGAACTAGGTAATTATCATACTTCAGCTGCTTCTCACTGAGAAATCAAGGGGACATTGTGTCATTATTCATGGGAACAAAACAGATGAATTTTTAAAAGATTATTTGATATTCCCCACCCTCACAAAATAACAGATATTTCCTTGAACCAGCAGCCCAGAACTTAGGGGAAGGACAGCATAAACAGGTGGGTCTTCACAACTTTCCTAAGACTTGCAAAGAAGTGGCCCAGCAAACACCCAGTGGAAGCTGATTCCAGAGGTGTGGGGCTGCCACTAAGAAGGCCCTCCTCCTTGTATTCCCCAGCCTAGCTTCCTTTGGTGGCAAGCAAGCTAGAAGGGCCTCTGCCAATTATCACAGAATGCAAGCATGCCATCCTTCAAGTGACCTGGGCTCAAATTATTCAAGGCTTTAAAGGCTGAAACCAGCACTTCAAATTGCCAAACACACTGGCAACCAATGCGCTTGGGACAGTAGTAGTGCCACATCAGCTGACCACCCATCAATAAATATCTGGGTTGCTGCATTATGCAGCAACTGATGCTTCCAAGCCACCTTTAAAGGCAGCCCTCCATGTACAGCATGAAAGACCAAAGCAAGATCATCCCATCTCCACACGGGGTTGAGCCAGCTTAGGTTGGTGGTAAGTACTGCTGGTCATTGCCACCACCTGAGCTCCCCCAGACAGCACCAAGTTCAAGGACACTCCCAAATGGCATACTTGGTCTTTCAGGGGAAGTGCAAGTTAACACAGGGATCCCCACACCTTTGCTTCATCACACACACATGCAAGTGAAGTGTTCCTTATTCTAGTTTGCCCCGTGCCAAGGAATACATGAACCACTTGGTTTGTCATGCTGCAATTAAAGCTTAGTAGAGAAGGAACACTGGCAGCTATAAGCAGCCCTGCCCCTGCTGCTCCCAAAATGCCTTGCCACATGATAAACCAGAAGTTAAATTATTATTCAGATAAACAGAGAAGTTGAGGAAGTGTGTCAGAAACCTCTGATTTCCTTTTACTGAACTTCTCATTGATGAACACTGAAAAAGAATTTGCATCCACTGGCTCTACCCAGTTGTAGCTGGGTTGGATCATATAGCTTATTTAGCGTATTTCTATCTCATCTTTTTTCCTCTTGCAAAGAACCAAAGGTAGCTGACATGATCTCCCTTCTCTCCTTTTAATCCCTGACAACAACATCCCTGTGGAGTAGGTTAGCCTGAGAGTGAGTGACCTGCCTAAAGTTACCCAGTGAACTCCATGACGAAGTGAGGACTAGAACCCAGATCTCTCAAGTCCTAGTCCAATGTTTTAACAACTTCATCCCACTAGCTTTTCTAGCTCTTGATACACTATATTGACAATGTGGCATAAGAACCAATGACTCTAGATTTAGGTGGAAAAGCTATGGGGAGGGAGCATTCTTGATTATTTTCTTATGTCACAGAACACCACTATATCCTCAAATTCTAATCCCTGTCTTACCTTTGAATTACTTGATTAAAGCAGAGTTCTGCTTGCAAGAGTCTTCCTAAATGTTTCAAACAGAGGCCTTTTAGCAGTTGTAGTAGACAGATGTCATCCATATAGTATTCATTGTGATCTTAAAAATAAAACAGCACCAAGTTTCAAATTACAAACACAATAATGATGGATGCAATTGCATATGCGGTGCCTGTATTACCTGTAAGAGTTGTGAAAAACCACTAGTGGACACAGCAAGCTTTCAGGCACAAACATATTCAGTTATTTATAGCTTCTTATCAAAAGCAACTGAATAAATAAAATGCTTTTCCAGTAATAAATATATTAATGTTCCATATTCTGTGGTACAACTCACCCCTTTTAAGTTCTTCAAATGTGAGTATTTTAAAAAGGGCTATTATGAAAAAACAGTACCTCAAGATATACAAACATAGGCATGCATAATGCAAGACACATTATGGAAATAGGCCTCCTGATGGTTATGCTAAAATTATATGTTAAATAGGCACTGCACTGATTGATGGAATCTTGAAATAGGTAGCCGTTTAAAGCTAGGGGTGCCTGGGGGAATGTTTTTTGCCTTCTTGCATTTGCTACCATTTTCTTCAGCTTCGACAGAAATAAAGACAAAGGCTGAACATGCACCAACAGATTGGGAGATCAAACACCTGTTGTACTTCGAAGCCGTCTGCCAAACAAGCCAGTGACACTGTAAGCCCTTGCATATAGGGGACCATTTATGGTGGTGTTTCCTCCCACCCTCCAGCCAGCAGCTGTTTGTAACCTACAGAAACAGAATTCTACACACAGTTTCCACAGTTACTGCAAGACCATCCTCAATGGTTAGGACAGATTCTTCCAGAATATACAAAACAGCTGCCTTTATTCATGCTCGAAACTCAGCTTCACCATTGCACACCCTCCCTTACATGTTGTCACCCAAAGGAGAAAGGTGTTTAGTGTGTGGGTTTTAGTCAATGTGAGTTTCTCTGAGCAAGGTTTGGATTGGAAAGGTACGGAAAAAATAGCTTGCTATTTATCACTGCAGCTAATGCAGTTTGGATGAAAGCCAATATAGAATGAAAGAGCAAATGTAGAAGGCCATTCATGTCTTTCTTCACAGAATCTAGTCAGGTGCTTCAAAACAATTTATTCATAAAATTCCTCCATAATGTTCATGTCACTGATTAAAATATTACTTGTATTACTCACTGGTTTCATTTTTTAAAGCAGTTTCTTCTTTTTCAATTGTTACTAATAAATTCTCAGTGAGGTCAGTTCTCTTTCCAACAATGGAAATGCCATTCCAGACATACATCATTTCCTGATAAAAACAAGAAACTCATGAGTATCTATAGTACACTATAAATAAGTAAGCAAGCAAAGTAAGTCGGCCAGCCATCAATGCGTTTGTTCTTCTGAACAATCCTAGTAGCGGTTTATGTTTCACATTTGTTCCTTTCCAATTTGGTGAAAAAACTAATATTCTGAGGTTATATTTTAATACTTTGTAAGAAACAGTTGTTGATGAATACCATTACCTTTTATTAATTTGATTATGGTAAAGTACAGGTAAGAGGCCATAATGCTTAATGTTTGTATGAGAAAAACGTTCAAATTTCTAACCATGCATTAAGCCCTCTACCCATTGGTTGCTGGAATAAAATGGTATTCCATCAGACATATTTCTGATGTTTTCTTTGTAGTGTGAACCTATACAGAACTTTTAAAAATTATTTTTTCCTTTGTAAAGTTCTTCCTGCAACATTACTGGTCTTGGCTCACAAATGAACCATGATCTGAAACTCAAGCAAGGGAGCTTTCATATAGTACATGGTCCAAGAAGGCTGTACATGCCTAAATCTATTTTGCTCAATATTACATGAAGCTTCTTTACAAGGTGCCTTCATTAAAAGTGAAAGGGCAGGACAGAATAAAAAAGCTAAAACTGCTTTAACAAAACCCAGTGGAAATGTAATAATGCTGTGTGTTATTCACAGGAATACATTCACAACAAACACATTTTGTGCTCACAATGGCAGTCTAAGAAGACTGAGACTGCTAGGCATGGCTATGGGCCGGGCTCCTGTCACATACTAATTTTCCCAAAACAGCTCCACGCATGCACACAGAGCCCACATGTGTGATGCACAGAGACCACAAAGAATAAGAAACACGTTTTTACTCTGTTACTGAAAATACGATAGAAGTCAGGCGGCTGTAAATACCAGAGCAGGGACTATTAGCTTCACTGGCTGAGAGCCTCCATAGCGTCGTGCCTTCCTCACGGCAAACTTTTCTGTTGGGATAGATTTCCCTGCAATTCTCTGCTTTAGGCCTTCCACTTGCCTATAAGATGAAAAACAGTGGAGTTATAGAACACCTGGGCAACAGGTCTCATCCCATATCCACCTGCCCTAAGGTTATCACAGGCGGTCTCTTACAGGTGCTCATACCACATGAATGACTAAAAGGCTTTTCAGCAGTAGCAACCTGTCTGCACAAGGCCTTCCCCAGAAAGGCTCAGCAGGTGGCTTACAGACACTCTGGCACCTGATAAAGAACTAAATGGGCCTCCACAGAGAGGGCATTCTAGAGGAAGGGCACTGCCCTTTCACACTTCCACCAAGAATGCTTCACGTTGACAGAATTAGGAGGAGAACTTCTACAGGAACTCCTGCAGTCCTTTACACAACCTGCTTCCAAGCTTTATAGATTATAACTAGCCCTCTGGATGACACCCAGCCAATCAATCAAAACTAAGATCTCTACTAGTTTCTTAGCTTCTCCTAAATCACAAGTGACAAGTCTTTCTGGGGCTGGGGGGAAGAAAATGAAGATTCAGAAATCACCCCTCCTGTAGAAGGTCTCCAGCCAGATTTCATATCCAGACAGGCCTACTGTGATTCCTAGTCTACTAACTTCCTAAGACTTAAAGCTTGCTCAAGAAAATCGCAACACTGCACATTTAGAGCATATTCAACCATATAGTAGTAATACAACTCACTAACACATTCACATGCCCGGATAACCAAGGTATGTCACTGGCTTGAGGAACAGGTATTTGGTGACCCTGGAAACAAACATTCTCCTGGAAATGACATGTCAGATCTGAACCTAGCATTCTGTTTTACGTAGAAGTAATTTCTCCGTAAAGAATCTCTACTTTGGAGTATGAATCAATGGGAGTCGCAGAAGAAATTCTAGTAAATCGCAGAGGAGGGACAATCCCCACAATTCACAAGGCATTATGCAAAATCATATGTCTAAATTGACTCCAATGAGCAGGTTTATGGCAATGATACAAGGAAGCTGATAATGAAACCTGTGCTCCAGATAAAGCAAAAGGAAATTAATTTAATAGCTATTTAGTCTAGTTTCAAGTAGACAATTAACAAAAAATATACCTAAACAAAGATACAATGTCTTCTCCTGTTTTTTTCACGTCAGCCTCTGGAAGCATACATAAAATGGCAGCTTTCTGGAACACATATATTGCCTGTACAAAATAAAATTAAAAAATTCAAACCATCTATCATTTCTTGCAACACAATTGTTTATGTGCCAAGTGAGCCACATAACCAATTTTCTAAGAGAACATCTAGTATTTCAGGGCTTACAAATTATTTCAGTTTAATTTCATTTATTTTCCCCCATAACTTTGGTGTTGTTTGATCTGAGTCACATTACTTCTTGAGCATGTTTTTAACTAGTGCTGTAAGACCATGCTAAGAGCTACCTTTGTAAAATTATCTAGTTAAGTGAAATACCCAAATATGACTCATATTCTGTGGATATTCTGTTCCACAAGCATAAGAACATAAGAAAAGCCATGCTGGATCAGACCAAAGGTCCATCTAGTCCAGCATTCCATACACACTGTGGAAAACCAGCTGCCCACAGGGTCCCGCAAGCAGGGTGGGTGCAAGTCCTCCTATCTATGCACTGAGACTCCCCAGCTGCGCCTGTCTAGCTGACCCTGCACATGAAACTATTAGCATTTTGGAGAAAGCCACCTTGGAGGTCTGAAGTTCAACCTTCTACCTAGTAACTTTATAGTCAAAGCTATGGTTTTCCCAATTGCAATGAATGGCTGTGAAAGCTGGACCATAAGGAAGGCTGAGCGCCGAAGAATTGAGGCCTTTGAATTGTGGTGCTAGAGAAGACTCCTGCAAGCCCCTTGGGCTGCAAGGAGATCAAACCAGTCAGTTCTAGAGGAGATCAACCCTGACTGCTCTTTAGAAGGCCAGATCCTGAAGATGAAACTCAAATACTTTGGTCACCTAATGAGAAGGAAGGACTCCCTGGAGAAGAGCCTAATGCTGGGAACGATTGACGGCAAAAGAAGGGGACGGCAGAGGATGAGGTGGTGAGATGGAGTCACTGGGGCAGTGGGTGTGAGCTTGGGTGGATTCTGAGGGATGGTGGCAACAGGAGAGCATGGAGAAATGTTGTCCATGGGGTTGTGATGGGTCAGGCAACTAACACAACAACAACCTAGTAACCTAACTTTGGTTACTAAGACCTCGCAACTACATTTCCCCATGTCACTGGTATTAACACAGGCCATGACCACTGACTGCACCTCTCACCTATCTACAAGGCTATCTAGATGGTATATGATATCTGCAACTTTCACGCCAGGCAGGCAATTCACCATGTGGTCCATACGTCCATTGCAAACCCAGCTTTCTGTGTTCCTAATAACTGAATCTCCCACTGCCAGAAGCTCCCCAGTCATCACCGCCTGGAGGGGTATCCTCTGTGGAGGAGGATACATGCTCACTTCTCAAGGAATAGGCCCCTTCTAAGGAATCACTTCCCTCGTCTTCTGAATGACACCCTCCTTCCCTGAGACCCCCTTTCTCTGTCACCCAGTAGTTGGGACCCTGCTAGTTGGTCCCTGGGGGTCCTGTCAACCAGCCTGTCTCTCTCTCTGTTTCTCCAGGTCACAAATATGCTCCCTGAGAGCCAGGAGCTCATTAAAGCAAGCACACACCCACGATACCTGTCCGGTTCACAGACAGTCATACACGTGGCACTCAGTGAAATACACTGGATAGGCCCCGCTCCTCTGCTGACTTTCTACTTTCATAATTGGTTTAATCAGTGTAAGTAGTTTATTCACCTGAAAAGCTATGGGGATTTGGGGTTCTACCAAGTTCCTTTATTTATCCTACTGGAAGGAGCAGTGGGTTTATTTTTATCTTTCTGCGGTTCTATGCACCTTATCATCCTGAGTAGCGAGGGGAGCAGAGTCCTGTGAGCTGGCCTCCTCACTCTGTTGCTCAACTCACTTGTGGGCTGGGATGCTTTATCACAGACCAGAGATGCTTTATCAATGAGGCTCCTCATAAGCCTTCCTTCTTCTATAACTCCAGGAGGGCTGGCCCAACTCCTGCTGCAACCAATGTGACTGGAGGGCCGTGTTTGAAAATGCCTCCTGGTCTGACATAGATTGCTGTTGCTGGGAATGAATGAGTGCTAAAGAATGCAAACTGTTGGTCAGTTTTCCTGTCTGGGAATGGAGATGACCCATTCACTGGAGATCGTAACAAGAATGGGTGGCAATCAACAGGCAAAGGCAGGTGATCACTGGAGAGGTGCTCATGTTGTATGGAATGTAGCTGTAATAAGAAGCTATTTGTTAGAATGTATAGCAGATGGAATTTGTAGTGGTGGTTATGGGTGTTCACAGACCTGTGTAAGATCCTTGTTAAAATTCAAATAATTGTCAGCTTCAGTACAACTTGTTGTAAATGACTTTGATTTAACTGGAATATTAACTTCAGTTTATTTTGATCTTACAGTAGGACAACATCCAAGATAAAGATAAGAGTATTCTGCTTTTTTCAATCCAGCATTACAGGAACTAGCTTACTTACAAAGATTTAACTCATAGAGGAGTAAGCACTATTACTGCAAATGCTGGAAATCACAAGCAGACTATAGAAAACCTGTTTAACATGCCACTCCTCTAGGGATTTCCACATAATATCACAGGTTAGGATATTCTGGATGTGATACAAGCAAAGTCCAAGCATGTTTCCAGTTGTAGCTGTCATCATGAAATGCACACAGCCCCTGCACAAAGTACCACCTGGGCTGAGAAAGGCACCGGTGGGTACAGGATGGAAATAACCGAACCATTCTTGCTTACAAAGGCTCAAGTGCTTTATGTCTTGCAGATCTCAAGCAAAACTTCTATCCAAATGACTTCAGTTCTCTTTCGTGATGTGTAAGTACGAATATGTAGAGACCTCTGGAAGGCCTTTCCTATTGATACAAGCCACACCACAAGTGAAATGCTGAAAAACTCCGTATTGTTCATGTCAGTCCAAATCCACCCAACATATCTATGCCAGACATATCAATTCCTGCTAGCAGGAATTTCTCCACATGTAGTTAGAGCAACACTTGTAGTGTGGAACTTCTGAGGATTATGTTGCCTGAAATGCTGCAATGCAGGAAATATATAATTTAAAATCTGTTCTTGGCATGTCTTCAGCAAAAGTATGTACAAGTGGAAGTAGGGGACACCGGACCTTTTCAAGTATAGCACCAAGAACTATGGAATGTCTTGTCCTCAGAGGATGCAATCCGCATTCTGGCTGGGTACTGCTGGGAACCTTCAGACTTTTTTTTTGTCTAAACATGGATAGAATTCCCACCTAAATAATGTAAAAGCATTGACTAGTATGGTAGTAATAGACACAACTCACTCAATTCCTTGCTTAATATTCCTGAAACACTGTTGTGAACTATGTAAGAATTGTCTTCCTTGGTACAAGGCTATCTTTTTGTTAAGGTATAAGAGGCAGCAGGAGTTAGGCAAGAGAGGTTAAGATGACAGGATAGCTCACTGAATAAAGGGCTGGACTGGAATTTCTGACAAGGCAGGTTTTGGGAGAAACTTCTATCCTTTAGAAACCTCTATCCAACAGTCTTTACATAAATTCCACTTTGTTTCCCAATAGTCTCTAAGAGTCAAACTGTTTCACATTCTGGGGAACGGGATTCTAAACACCCAGCTGAGATGGGTGGCGGTGGATATAACATCATTAGTCCAATTCATAGAATCAGAGAACAATGGAGTTGGAAGGGGCCATGAAGGCCATCGAGTCCAACCCCCTGCTGTTGCAGGACACCAGCTTACAGCAGCCCACTCAGATGGCTGTCCAGTTTTTTCCTTTTTTTTCTTTCTATGTCAAAAGCTTTGCTAAAGTCTAGGTAGATTATATCCACAGTGTTCCCATTGTCCATTTTGGAGGTTCCCCAGTCAAAAAATGAGATTAAATTGGTCTAACAGGATTTATTTTTGATAAACCCATGCTGGCTTCTATTAATCACTGCATTTTCTTCAAGATGCTTGCAGATGGATTTTTTAAATAATTTGCTCCAGATTTTTTCCAGGGATTGATGTCAGGAATTGTTCATAGTTGTGCTTCGAGAATCTTCTTTTTCAAGATTTCCCATCCCTCTTGAACACCTTTCTCCTTAAGGGTGTGTGCCATGGCACTTTGCTAATCACTTTTCTGAGTTCATTAAGGTTGCCTTTCTTGAAGTCCAGGATGCTTGTTTGGCTCCAGTTACCCTTTGTCTCCTTTATAATCGAGAATTCAAGTATTGCATGGTCACCAGAATTCCCATCGTTGTTATTTTGTCCACCAGGCCATCCCTGTTAGTATTAAATCAGGGATAGCCGATCCTCTGGTACCTTCCTCTACTTTCTAATGGAAAAAGTTGTTGGCAACATATGTCAGGAATCTCTCGGAGGGGCCATGCTTGGCAGAATTTGTCTCCAAGCATATATCAGGGAAATTAAAGTCCCCCTTGATGACTACATCATTCTTCTAGGAAATGCCAGCAAGTTGCTTTTTGAAGGTTGCATCCTTTCCTCTTTTTGACTGGGTAGACAATAATATATGTCAATAACTATGTTTTTCTTATTTTTTGCTCCCTTTAAATTTAGCCAAATGCTTTCAATGGGGCTACTAACTTCTCTTCTTGTATTTTTGTGCAGATATATGTGTCTCTTACATATAGTGCAACTCCACCTCCCTTTTTGTCCTTTCTATTTTTCTTGAACAGGTTATATCCATCAACTGTAGAGTTCCAGTCATGTAAGTCTTCCCATCAAGTTTCTGTTATTCCTATAAGATCATAATTGCCCTCATGTACTATCAGCTCAAGTTCATGTTGTTTGTTTCCCATAGTCTGGGCATTTGTGTAGAGACATCGAAGTTCATTCTTGCTGTGCCCTGGTTTTCGTTCTACATTTTTGGGAGATGGGTGTTGGGCCCTGCTTGAGGGTTTTTCTCTGTTGAAATATGCAAGTCTTTGCCAGATGATGGTATGCCATGATGCACATCTTCCTCCCCTATAGGTTTTAGTTTAAAGCTCTCCTGATGAAGTTTTTCATGTAGTGGCCAAACATCTGCTCCCCCTTCTTTGTGAGCTGCAGCCCATCATTTGCCAATATCCCATCTTCCAGGCACCTCAGCTTGTGGTCCCAGAATCCAAATCTCTCTTTATGGCACTACCATTGTAGCCAGTCATTCACTTGAAGGATTTTTCTTTCCTTAACAGTTCCTCTTCCATGTACTGGTAAAATTGCGGAGAAAACTATTGGGCCCCCAGTGTTTTTTATTTTCACACGTCTCTTCCTCAAGGAACGCGAAGCGGTTTGAGAGTTCCACTGCTTCCACAGGTGCAGAGTGTTTTCTAGGTCTTCTGCATATAACTGTCATCCTGTTCCACTGAGTTTCCTCATTTTCCCTTCCCTCAGGGTTGCCTTCTGCCACCTCAGCTTGCTGTTGTTCTTCTTCCTTCTGGACCACACTTTCTTTGCTGCAGCTCCTCCACTCTGTCTAGAAACTCTTCGTTCTCTTGTATTGTCGCTGCTCCTGTGCTCTCACCTTTAATAGTGTGCAGCAGTTGCAGTTGTTGCAGGCTGCCACTGTGGCGTCACCTCAGTGCACTGCTCGTGCTGCCATGTACAGTGGGGTGATTAAGGTAAAATAAGGGAGAGAAACAAAAGCGGGGGGGGGGCATGCTAGGGACCCAGACCCTCTCAAGAACCAGAATGGCCTCAGGTTAAGAGAGTGGACCAATTAAGAGACTTCAGATTGATTGATTGATTTCGACACTGTCACAGCTGAAGCTCTTTGGGAAGTTTACACAGATGTTCCTAGTTACTTACCCATAAGCAGTATGATACACCTGGAAGGCTGAGTCAACTTTGTTTGGTTAGGGGTATTCAGTTTAGAATCAACCGGCTATCCTTAAGCTGCATTTTCCTAATGCTCAGTATTCTAATTTGGTTATTGTCTTTTGTTACTGACTTCTACCAGACTCTTCTTTGGTATTACAAAGCCAACCTAACAGTCTAGCACTAACATTATAAAGACTCTACTTAGAATGCTTTTGTCCTGATCTACATGAAAGGAAGGAGAGTAGACAAGTACACTTGCTGCAGCTCACCTGGTGCCTAAGTCACCTATTACACAGGACAATGCCAAGCTGAACTCATAGCAGAGAAGACTACAATAGTTCCTAGAGCATCCGACTATTTCCATTTTACCACGCTATGGGAGTAGGCAGAACTCACCAGAGTCCTATATTTGGAAAGCTACCATCAAGTGTAACTATGAAATGGCTATCACCACTTCATAGAAATATCCAATCACCAATTTACCTTTGACCACCTGCTTTCTCTGCAAAGCAGATCTGCATACCGATATGCCTGAAGCCAGTTCTGTTGGAAGGAGTAGCACCACATCAGCTCCCAGTAGCAGAGGTGATGGATCTGCTTCCATTCTTGCTGAGCAGCGATGCATTCCTGAAACGTTGCCTGAGCCTAAAATTCAAAATTGCATTACAGAAGTTACATGGGCATTGCATTTCTCATTCCATTTATGGACTTTGATAAAAGTTGTAGTTTTATACTAGTTACCAAACTCCTCATGTTTATGACTAGAAAGACTAGAAATATTAAGACTTCAATAGCTGCTCTCCCCTCACCCTGGTTTTGTAAGCAGCTGTAGAATCTCTCTTTTTTTTGGGGGGGGGGGGAGTGAAGAACGAGGAAAATACTCTAAAATAAAGACCCATCCAAAACTAAAACAAAAAAACCCGAAACATCTTTGATGAATTAACAGTCAAGTTAGATGTAACAGGCTATTAGTTTCAATGCCAACACAATTATAAAAAAGGGTTCAGAGGCTGACTCAGTTTTATTGTAAAAGTCCATTACCTTTTCAAAATTTCCTTTCAGTATGTCTATTCTGGCATCATAGAACAGAATGATGGCACCCTTGATAAAAAAAGAAAGTTATAATTAAAAATTTGCAATCACAACTGCCACAAACTTTATACAGGGTTGAAAACAATTGCTACCTTTGGAAACTTCTGAAGGTAAGGCTGAAGAAGGGCATCTGCTTCAAAGAGGTCAGCTTCCCCTGTTCCTGTAAAGGCAACAAAATCTTTTATCAGTATCAGTAGGGTATGGAAGTCAGTACTTATTGAATGGTGCATAACAGTCCATGCTTATAAACTACAGCTTCATTAGAAAATGGGATTATTTCAAATATGAGAGGAAAATATTTTACTCTGCTGTCAACAAACTGCAGAGAAAGTGAACACTCTAGAAATAGAGCAAAATGCACAAAATAACTCTGGTACTGAAATTACCAAATCAGAACTAAAATATAAAAAATCCAAACTTTTCAGGATTAAATGTGCTTTCTAACACTTAACATATTTTTCTTCAGATGGCTGGTACAGACAGACTCCTACCAAAATGTTGCTAACAAATCAACAAAGAGACTCACTGGAGCAGATTTCTCCTTCCCTTGCTAAAATTGCTGCCAAGCAGCTGTAAACCGTCCTGAGGCTTTTTGCAAATAGGACGGCATATAAATATTTTAAATAAATAAATAGATAAATAAACCCAGTTAATCCAGGAATTCAAACCCACTTCAAACTATGAACATAGCGGGCATCACGGCTGAATATACAGTGCAGTAAAACAAAGTAGAATACCTCATTCAAATGTTATATGCGTGATGAGATTACAATATACAGAATTTCCTTTTTTTCTATTTTTATTTTGATACCAGTAGAGTTTGAAAAGAAAGGAGAAAAAAGAAAAATAATAAAGAAAATGTAGTGGGGAAATACTGAGGGATCCCAAGCAAATAATACACAGAACTTCATGTACAAAAACAAAACAAAACAAAACAAAACAAAACAAAACACTGATCTGTGAACATTATCCTTTCTACTCAGTCACTTTTTTAAACAAAGTTAAAATTCACTGAAATTTCTACTAATTTGCAGTTCTTCAACTTATTCTCTATTCATCTTGACTCAACTTCCTAAAACAACAAAGCCTTAATACAAATATTATAATAATAAAATAATAATAATACAAATATCTCCAACGCTTTCCCCCCAAACTTCCATTCCCTTTACATTTATCATTAATTTATTTGGCTGATTATCTCAATATACAGGATCTCCATGTGGTTCACCCAAGGCTTAGCTTCAGCTCTTACCGAGGATTAATGAAACGTAAGTGTGGTATAGCAGCAAGGTGAAGGTACACAGTATGGCCCGCAGACTGGCACCAGAAGCTCCTTCCCGTAACTGCTGGAGACCCAGCTCCTGTCAGTGGCCACAAAATGGTACAGGAGAAGATGCAATGTTACCATTTATATTGTTGCTACTGATCACACATTGTAATGAAAGGGATACATGAGGAAAAGTAGGAGCCTTAATGTGACCTTCAAAGCAGAGTGGCAGTTTTGGCAGCCACTGTGTCTGAAGATGTATTTAACTACATCTGCCCTACATTGAGTTGGACCCAACGTAAGCCTGCTCAGGGTTGAAGGGCTCTTTCCACCCATGGGCTGCTTCTGGTTCAGGGAGGCAAACTCTATGGATTCCTTCTCATTCTGAAGTCCCAATGTTCCGGCTGACAAAATCTGCTCTGGAAGGCTGAAGAACCCTCTGGAACAGCAAGGAAGGTACGCTGGGCCACGGGAGAACCTTGAGCTACTAGGCTGATCCCACGGCCACTGGTTTCTGAGTGGAGTGCTGTTCAGGGGCTGCTCCCCCTGACAGATTAACTCCATTGGTTTGGCCTCATTCATTCTCCTATTTGCTTACTCTCCATCCTCATGCAGAGTGCCTGCATACTTCCCCTTCCTGAGAGAGACGGGACTGGACATCTCTAGAGAAGGGACAGCTGTATACTGTCCATGCTTCCTATTCCATTTTAGTGCATACCAAACAGAACTAACAGTGTTTTGTCAGGACTAAAATAATGAACAGCAACAATAATTAATGGCACATGTCATAAAAAGCTAAAAATGTTAAATACTGTGTGGGTTAGAGAATGTCTTAGTGAAGCAACTAAGCTTAAACAAGATGGAACTTGTTGCACATGATAAGAAAGTCTGATTTGGGATTCGGTCCATTCTGGAACAGGTTGGAACCTCTTGAAGAATTAGGTTCACTGGTTTGGAGTGCCCCTTGATCCTCTGGATCAGGATCTTTGGGTGGTTGTGGTGGCAAGGAGTCTGTCTGCACCGTTCTGCTTGGTGCACCAGCTGTGACCCTGTGTCAGTCTGACTTGGCAACAGGCACCATGCTGTGGTTTCGTCACTTCAAGCTTCAACTGGTGTACAGTGTGACGCCTAAGACTTGTCCTTGTTTGACAACTGCTTTAGGGGCTCAATTCAAGGTGCTGCTTTTAACTTTTAAAGTCCTAAATGGTTGTGCACCCAGCTACATTAGGACCATCTGTCTCATTATAAGCCTGCCTGGTTATTAAGATCTGTATGCAAGGTCTTCCTGAGAGCATTGTTACCCATAGAGGCCTCTTGGTTGGGCACATGGGAAATGGCTTTCTCCTGTATTGCTATCAAAATGTGGCACATATTCTCCGAGGAACTAGGATTTGCCCCCAACCTCTTGGCTTTTAAAAGAGACGTGAAGACACATCTCTTCAATTTTGCCTTTTAAATTATGTCAGATTTTATTTTTTCAAATGGCTGGGCACTGCTTTGATGAGTTTTAGCAAATGAGGGAAAAGATACATGTACACAGAGCTACATGTATATACACAGAGTTTTAATACTGAAAATTAATTCAAAGCTTACAAACAGTCAGTTGCCTACTCCCATATTTTTCTAATCCAAGACATCAGAGCAGTTCAGCCAATAATAGCTAGTGCCTGTCCAGGTACACTGACCTGTCAGTTTGCACATTTTGTGGGAACTATTAATGCTAGAAACAACATTGAATACCCTATTTCCTGAAAACCCAATAAATTCTAGAAGCCGGAGGATTCTTCCTGGCAAAAGGGACAGCATCTGCAACATACAAGTAACAAGAATTCCATCAATTGTATATACTACTAAAATATTTCAAAGAAAACAGACAACATCTTAAAATCCTAAAAACATTTCAACATAACATTTAGATCACCTTGAAATATTGTAAGGGTACATTGTATCAGAAGCGAGGACAGAAATCCCCAAATTTTAATTATTATTTTAAATAAAAATTAAAAATTTGAAATGTTAATTTAAAAAATTACAGCATTTTGAACCTTACCAAATGCATTGAAAGCTAAATTATATTTAAAAGTTAAAGACTCATACCAAATTGAATGCTCCTATTCCTAGTTGCACACCCCCTTCAAACTGGTAGTAGGTTTCATTCTTGCTTTTGCTATCCTGGGTCATCTGGAGAACTTGATGACATTCTCTTTTGAGTAAAAAAAGTTTTCATGTTAAATGGGATGACAGGAATTGCAATCAATACAATATACAATACTATGAAATTAACAGAAATGAACCTGCATCAGTATAAATTGACTCCACTTATTAGCTCCTCAGACACCTTCTGCCTCATCTACATGTAGACTCTTGAGAAATGGTTTTGCTTAGATTTTCTATAATAATAACATAGTGACTTCAGCATTGAACAGAGTAACAAGAAAAACACAGGTACCTATCCCAAGGAGCATCATAAATTCAACCATCATATATTCAACAGACAAGCAATACAAATACAGTAACTGAGGTTGAGGTCAGGGTTGAAGGAGCTCTTGGGAGCTTGATGTGTATATGCTCTGATTTCCTTTCCATCACTTCCCTACTACCTTTGCAATGGCAGATAATTTTCTAGAATATACAAACAATGACAACGCCTAAATGACACAGGAACATACTTGTATATTTGGTAACTTGTCCTGATTTTGAGGCCACCCTTGATGAAGTTGATCATGTTTTCATCCTAGGAAAAACCATCAAGACGATATATTTAAAAACTGTAGTTGTGTAAAACATACAGACTTTTAATTTGATCTGAGTGCCTGTGAAACACAAACACTGGAAATAGCTTAAGCATCAAAGTTTTTATATTTATTAATTAAGTTCAATATGTAAATGTTGGAGATACATATAATCAAGGAAACACTCTTGGCATATAATGCTATGCAAACATAAAAGTGACAGAAAAACATACTTCTATATCAAGCAAAGATCAAAGGAAATTGAAATAGGACACCACTAGATGGTGCTAGAAGTAGCTAAAATGCATGAAACCACAGTAATCTTGAAATTTAAAAAATGAATGCTTCATTGATCTGAGGGTACCATCCTTGTTCAGGGGTCATGCTCTTCTATATCATGCTGGATTCAGTGCATGTACTGCTGCATATACTACATTCAGTGACCAAGAGCAGGTAACCATACCAGAGCATATTTATGTAAAGGTCACCCAGGTCCACAAATACTCACAAACCATTTAACGTGTTTCTCCTGCTGGATGGGGCTTGCCTTCTACAAAAAGATTCCTAAATAGTGAATACAGTTGTACTTGTATACAAGATCATGTGGAAGAATGTAGCAATTAAGTGTGATTTGGCCACAAAATGTCTTACTGAAGTTTAAGAAGAATGCTTTTGGAATGGGTTAGTGCCTTCCATGCATGCTAATATGGCAAAAACTATGATTTGCATTAGTGGAATGTGATCCCTACCATACAATGCAGAAAGGTAAACAATTAGGTCTTGTTTGCTTTAATAACCATTGGAAGAAGCATACCCCATGGTAAGATGTGCACACTCAAGATAAATATATTTTACCCAGATGCTATTCGTGAGTTTCTGTTTGCAAATTATAACACAAGAGGGTAGGTGGAAACATAAACCATTCATGCTTCCGATATCCTACTTGTCCGAGTCCAAAATATTACCATTAGCTGAACTGAGGAGCTTGCAAGCCGATGGAGTTTGTGTACGCACATGCATGCAATGCTTATATGTGAATGAGAGAGAGAAATGCAACTTTAAATAAGCTTGCATCAGAAATGTAATGCCTGACTGCTGTGCAGGAGGTTGGATTTCCAACTGCATTTCAAGTTTCCTTTTATCTTGCCACTAAGCAAATATGCAAATATGCCCAATCTGAAGTGCATTTTTAGTTGCCCATCCATCATTTGAACAAGGAACTAGATAATTCAGATATATTTTTGGTATTATTTTAATCTGTGTTCTTGTCTGGAAGTGTAGGAAGAGGATCTTGTCAATTTCACTGATGCTCAGAAAAATATCACCTTTCCACCCTATTTCCCTAAAAACATTTCTGCTGCTGCAGAAAGGGAGAAGCAATGTTTTGGACCCTGCCTCCAAAAATGATGCAAGCACACTAGGACCTGTGTCCACAATAAAATGTTAATTAAAAATTGCATGCCAACAAAGCAATGCATTGAGAAAACTGACAAGGCTTTCTTCGCAACCTGGTCGGTTTATCAGGAGAAGAAATGGACATTAGAAGAAGTGTACCAGAGGTACATCTGTGAGACAGCATCAGAATCTAGTCACTGAGCAGTAAAGAAAATGTCTCTTTTTGAACTGGCTGGAAGTAGGATGGTGACATTTCATGCAGCAGAGGCACAGTTTATGAACTAAAGTAGGAGGGGATTCCCAAGATGATAATTAAATACAGAGACATCAGTTAGACTTCCCCTGTAATTTCAGGTTCACTGACTTCCTCAGAAAGGAAGGAAGATCACAGGTACATTTTAAGAGTTATGATTAATTATAGCAAAAATGTAAAGTGCCAGCTTTTCTATTACATTGATACTGTGGGGCATCTTGATAGGGAAAGGCAAGAGTTGCGACTTTCTGTATTAGGACATTATAATCACTCTGGTTTTAGGGAACGAAACTTGCAGGGTAAAAGGTATTCTCATTACAAATACACACAGAAATAGCAGATATAGGACGCTTACAATACCTGTACAAATGTCAGTGCTGCTTTCTGTAATAAGCATTCAGCGTAACAGATTTCTGCGTGCATTTCCTCTATTAATAAAGAAAAAAAGTGTGATTTGCAAGAAAGTACAGTAAAACACAGTAGTAATGCATGATGCTAAATGTCCACCTCTTGAAAAGCACTGGCTATGTGTGTGTTCATTTCTTGAAACTGAGTCACACCCTTTATCTTAGAGCACCATCACAGGCCTGCTAAATGCTGTCTACACAGCCATCGGAGAGGCTGGAGCCCAGCTCCATCCTCAAAAATGCACTCTGACTGCAGCACAGCCTTCCCTCGCCCTCGCAGCCAGCAAGGTCCAGCTGCGGCTCCAAAGTCCCAAGTGTGCCTTGGAAACCAACCCGTGATGCAAATGAGGAGTTCCAGGGGCATTCTGGGGAGGAGGGAGGCTCTGCCAGGGTATGAGGAATCTTGGTGGAGCCTTCATATAAAGAACACCTGTATAAAATGTTTTATAGATGGTATCTGTCACCAAATAGATTAGCTGTTTCCAAATATGTCAAACGGGTGTTGGAAATGTAAACATAAATTGGGTACTTTCTATCATATGTGGTGGACTTGCGATAATGGGAAACGTATTGGATTAAAATACATAAAGGGCTTGAGGAAATGTTATAAAAATCCTTAGCTTTTAAACCTGAAGTTTTCTTATTAGGCATTATACCTGTTGATATTAGTAAACAAGAAATGTACTTGATCTTACATGTAATTACTGCAGCGAGGATTGCATTTGTTCAACACTGGAAAAGTGAAGAACCACCCACCGATGAACTGATCCTAAAAAAGATCTTGGACTGTTCAGAAATGGATAGATTGACTTAGTCATTGAAGGAGAAAGAAGATACTGATTTCTATCAAACTTGGGACTCTTTTTATTATTGGCTAGAGAAACGGGACTTCGTATAGAGTTAAATATCTTTTTAAGTTATCATAAATAGAAAAAAATGTGGGGGCTGACCAAGCAGGTCCGATGTTTCTGATGATTGATGTTGTTTTTAGTTTTCCTTTGTTTTAGGGTTATTTTGAATAAAACTTATTATTAAAAAAAAAAGGAATCCTGGTGGAGCTTCAGCCCTTCCTCCTAACAGGCAAATTTAGAGAGCTCAAATCAGCCATCTGTGCCTTTGGCAGGGCAAAAGAAGGGCAGAGGCATTCTTGCCTCTTTCTTCCCCAATTAGATGCCTGCAATCTTGGCTTAGCTTACATTTGGCTGGTACAATTGCCTCCAATTGTTTACCAAAGCAATATGTACACTTCTGCTTACTGTACCTGTTACCATTTATGTTTCATTATTTTAATGGCATACTCTATGGTCTTTTTGATCATGCTGCTGTACACCACTTGGAAATCAGCAGGGATGAAAAGTGGTTTACAGTATTTAATATATACAATTAAAAATAATAACTGTAAACAATGTGATAATGAACTTTTGTAAGTGTTGCTCTCTCTGCCATCTTTAAAGCACTCACACCCACCTCTAGGAAATTAACTATATATGAAGGATTCAGTTCAGAGTTCTTGTATTGCAAAGTGCAAAAACAACTGATTGGCCTGCAAAGGTAAAAGAGTAGCATACTATTTATGTTTTCAAATATAATATGTCCAGAAATGGCCCAAATTCAAGAAACCCTTTTCAGATATATAAAGTCCTGCATTATTAAATGTTTCATTCTTCAATGGTTATTCTCAGCATTTCTCTAGCAGTTACGAATTAAAGGGTAATAAGTAAAACATTATCCCCTGGGCTGTGTCATAATTTGATGATTATCACCAACAACTAGAGCAATATACCTTTGAGAAATAAAACAAAACCAAAGATGTACAACTTTGTAGGGAAAAATGCTGATGCATCCTGTTAGATTCTACTCCAAAGGGCAACAATATCAGTATTAAGAGACAAGCACACCTTCATAGAAATAAATAAATAGCTAACACTTTTGCTTTTCCATTATTTGTTTTGCATAAATTAAGATGTGTGGGTCTTTCTTTTCTTTCTTTGATCCCTAAATGATGACTGTGCTCACATGACTAAGCAAGCCACCTGGGTTTATAAGAGCTGTGCTCAATAATACACGTTATAAATAATTTTAAAGAATAAAAAGGGTGACTGTGGGCAGCCCCTCCAAGATATCGCTGGGGTTATGGGGGAGGCACCTTACAACTGCCAAAAGCAGAGATGAGGAAAGGTGGCATCACAGCTGCCCTTTGCAATCTAACTTCCCGCTTTTTAAAAACGCAAGCCCCTGCAAGCCAAAACTGGCTCATGATCCCATGTGGAGGAGGGGGGAAGCTTACAGCGATGTACCCTGGAATACCTGCAGGAGGACTGAGGAGGAAAGAGGTGGCTCACATGTAGGTCACATTAAGAGTCCCAAACTAAATAACCATACAGGGTCACCTATAAGCACCCAAGGGCTGGCCAGGGCTTGCAAATCTGCCCAACATGAAATAGCTCATTTGTGTGTGTGCATGTGTGATTTGTATACTGCACAATAGCCAAATGGCTCTCTGGGTGGTCTACAAAGTTAAAATTATTTTATTTGAATTAGCAATAAGTACATTCCCCAGACAAAATAACTCAGTTGTATTTCCTTACCTTCACTCAGCTGATCTACAGACTGTTTAGAAACTAAACTGGACAATGACTCTACCACTGTGCTTCTTTTCCTGAATCTGCATAAACATGGAAACAAACAATTTATAATTTCATTTCAACAAACCTTTTTTCAAATGAGCGCTTCATATAATGCTTAGTAAGGCTATGAATCATAAATATTAAGTATCTTAGAGAGAGGGAGACAGAGACAAGAACCTGAAAAGAGGTCACAACTTCATTGCATAAGCAACTTCCAACAATGTGATATCGACGAAGGAGGGACATAAGCCCTCTGTCACCCAGGAACCTGTCCGGGAGAACATGGGAAGAAGAATGGAGCAGAGGAGGGAATCCTGTGAAGGGAAAACTATTGCCTCTTGCTCTTGCTCTAGGAGAGGAGCTACTCAGTGATCCGAGTAACTGGACTGGACTGTCAGTATTAAATATCTTAGAGACACAGGTGTAGTTCCCCTGTCTGAAAGTGTGAAAACATAATATGGATGTTATTTGATCTCTTGGTACCTAGCCATAACTGTAACTCATTTTTCAAGGCAATCTATAGTCAATCAATGAGAACTTCTGAAAAATAATCGCATTGCTGTTCAGCTGGCAAAACAAGTAGATAACGTACACTTGAAGCTCTCTCCTCTGCAAAGGGACCAAATTCATCTGCCATTTCAGATGAACTCAAAATTTTCTAACAAAATTTTTTTTTAAAGTGTTTGTGTGTTTATGTGTGTGGTGTGTATGTGAGAGCATCTTCATATTCTTGTACAATAAAGTTAATTTTAAAGACTTATAAAGAAGTTGTCTTGGATTTTTTTTCAAAGGTAAGCTTCATAAAAAAACACAGCCTTCTCCTGCACTATTATGTGGAAGGTGAATAACACAATTTATGACAAACTTAGCAACAAATGCCTAAAGGTGACAGGTATTGTTCAAGACTAACCCCTCCCAAAAAACACAACATACAGACAGATCATTTCATGCATGTAGCCCTCTAAGATCTGGACCTTAATTATGGAACTTCTTCTGATCCCATCCATCTCTGCTACAAAGCCAAAGAATTTATGCACACCAACCTCAGAGGAGCAATGTCATCAAGCTAAGTACACATCACACTTCTACAACTTATTTCGATTGCAGCTAAACAACCTGTTTTTCAGCCAAACTGAGCAAATCTTCAAGGTGATTTTTTTCCCACAGACTTATGGCTGAAATGCTGTCTGTGAAAACAGGCAATAATTTATCCTACAATACAAACAGCTAGGGAAGAGTGGCCACTTCCAGCAGAAGTAGCAAGACCGGCCAATGAACTACAATCCAAATTGCCTGGTGTTTCATTTCAGCTAAAACTCTTTGTAGACTTCAGAACTCTTCCTTTGCTTCAAATGGAACACAAACTGCTACATCACAGGCTGGGTGAATATACTCCATGCTTACTGAGTCTGCAAGCACCTCACAGATGACCCCTGATCCAGTTGCAAGGCACAGGTAGAGCCCTCTTCAGTGTTGTGCTGACACCAAGGCTGCTGCCACAATGCCAGGCTATGTGGTATTACACAATCACCTGCTTGCATCAACAGATTTCTGTATGGCCAGATCAATTACAAGAATATTTAGGAAAAGCCCTTGGAATGCAGTGAGCCCACAACTCCAACTAGAATATGTGTGCACGTGTGCATGTGCGCGCGCACACACAGCTTTGTATGTGGTTTGGAATTATAATGCCAGAGTTTAGGGGCTGCTCCTTTCATAACAAACCACAGTTGTCTGTCAAACCATAGTTTGGTTGCTAGTTCCAAGCCTTTGCCTCACGCACTCTCTCCCACACCTTCCATTTTCAGTGTAAAAACTCTGCACCTTCGTTTTACATCCAAAGTGGCAAATCATCAAACCAGAATTACACATGCCCACCACAATTAGCAATCCTCTTCAAGCCTTGATTTCCAGTTCTGCTTTGGTGATGCAATACCAAATTATGGCTTGAGTCAAGCAGGAAGCAAGGACAGATGGACAGATGGAAGGAAAGGGGATGTGAGAGTCTGAAACTTTGCATTGACGGTCAACTCTGTTTGGCTGTTATATCTGAACCGTTCCCATGTCAACTAGACCACTACAAGATCAAATGTGAAGATTTTACTGGCTCTTATCTCTGTACTCAAAACAGGACTTCTCATAATAATGTCCAGGGACCGCTTCTCACATCCTCTAACTTCTGATCTCTCTGTATTTAGACAGCATGTTACAGGCTTCCTGCTCTCAGCAGCAGATGTGAGTGGAAAGCAGGGATGGGTGACTTGTGTCACTCCAGAAGTTTTGGTCCACATCTCCCATCAGTCCTAGCCAGCATAGCTAATGGTGATGGATGAGGGCAGCTGCAGGCCCAGAAACCAAGGGACACAAGTTACCCACAGCCTGGTCTAAAGAGACAGTATGCTGGTGGTGCTACAATTCTCCTCTAGCCAAGGAAGCTTTGCTTACTCCCCATTTCCAATAAATTGGTGGGAGGGGAAAAAGGAAGTACTATAGTCTGCTACAGAGCAATTTGCCCAAACCACTTCAGGCTCAGTGGAAAACTAAAAAAAGAAGTGAAAGACGCAGATTCTTGTACAAAAGGAAAACATCCCTTCTATTGTGTCTACACTGTGATTCCTATGGATGGCGGAGGGGTGAGGAAAAGGACAAAGCAGGAGAGGGGGGGAATAAAAATGGTTAGAGAAGGTTGATCTAAGGTGGTCAGGTGTCTCACTTGGGAATAAATTCATCCAAGCTAGGACAAGGAAATAACCGAGGACTGTTCTCTTGCTTTTTAAAATAAGACTTATTTAAAATTCTGAATGATGGGCTTCGCAAAAGGATCCTCCTCCCTCTGCATTTCAACACTTCCAAAGGCAGTTTTTTCTACATCTTTTTCATTAATAGCTTCTTCTAATTTTCATTTCTGCAGCAAGATACAATATCATATGAAACTGTGCAAGATTCAACACACATAAATTTATTCATACTTACTTTTGACAAGTTTGTAAAGCTTCTTTCATTGTAGCAATTCCCATTTGGATATCCTGTTGTTCAAATGTCATTGCAGCCTGCATAACTAAAATAGTGCTATATCCTAGGGCATGGTACATACTGCCTTTAGACCTGATTTGAAAAATAAAAATATTCTTTTAACAGAAATGCCAACCCACTAGAAAAATGTTCTGGGTTCTGCCAGAACAAAACTACAGTTGTTACAAAAGTACCATTTAATTTCTAAACTGCTGCTATTCTATTTTTCCATGAGCTGCTTTTCTTCCAATAATAATAATAATAATTCTACCCTGCCCATCTGTCTAAAGGCTCCTTGAGTGGTATACAAATCAAAATTACAATAATTAATATAAAACACATATAATAAAATCAGAACAATGGAATTAATAAAGTTACACAGTACGGTTGTGCAATTACCTCCCACAACCGCAAACGTATTAGAAATTATGCCATTCTTTGGTTCTTAGTATTATTTTATCATGTTTTGATAAAATTGCTGTTTAACAATTCTGATCACTTTTGAGAGTTTGAAGAAATAGTTGAACCATTGCCATTGGGCAGGGAAATAAATAGGAATAATGATGCTACTACATTCAGAGGCCTTAAATTAATCTCCAGCAAGCAGATGGCATGTCTTAACATCTCCCTATATTGCTACTAGCAAACAAAACAGTCTCACCATGGACGAAGTAATTCCAGAGCTTCAGAGAATTTGTTGTTCAGAAATAGGTTCAATGCCATTGAACATTCTTCCAAAGAGCACTTAAGATCCATCTTGGTAGCCCTAATAAAATAGACAGTAAATAATAGTAAGCATGGTTAACTATGCTTGATGAGGACTGCAAAACTAATGTACAAACACCACAGTAGAGTCTAGCTTTAGAAATCTATTACACTAGAACACATCTTCTCTTAGCTAGTCAGAACTTTCTGTTAGCTTGATTTTCATCCTGGTGGCAGTTTAAGGTTAGTGTTTGATTACTGGACAGCTCTGATTAAAACTACAGGAATGACATAAGTACATATGACAAAACAAAGAAAGCAGATAATGAGCCAGATCACTGGTCCATCTGGACATGCTGTCAACAGACACTGAGAGCAGCTCTGCAGAGGCTCAGGAAGACTGGAGGGAATCCATAACACCTTTTCTTGGTCATTAAGTCGGAGGTGGAGACTCTTTTCCGCCATTGTTGGGTCACAGGGAAAATCCATCTGGGCAGTTGGTTGATGGGCAACACCACAGTTCAAAATGAGAAGCATCAGTGACTAGAAAGGTGAAGGGCTGGTGGGGGGAGGGGGACTGAAAAATCCAGAAAAAGCTTTTCCTCCCCAATTTTTTTCCACTTTTCTTCCAGGCCTTCACATTTGTCACATTTGTGACTTTGCCTGGTTCTCATGCCCTCTCCCACCACATTCTCCCCTGTCTCAACTAAGAGAAGAAAATTGTTCCCTTAAGGGTGATCTGCAAAGCAAGAGTCAGTCCACAGCATCCCCTCTTTGACCTGCAGTTGAAGAGGTGATGCCAGGTATCAAGAGAGCCACTGTGGTGTAGTGGTTAAGAGCGTGGGACTGGGACTCAGACGATCTGGGTTAGCCATGGAGCTTAGCCATGGAGCCAACTGGGTAACTTTGGGCCAGTCACAGACTCTCAGCCCAACCTCCCTCACAGGGCTGTTGTTGTGGGGATAAGATGGAGGAGGAGATGTAAGCTGCCTTGAGCCCTCTGTAGGAAAAAGGCAGGATATAAATCTAAAAATAAATAAATAAATAAATAAAATCAAGGCTGGGAACTAATACTAATGCTTTACCATTGAGCAACATACTTTTATATCCATTTTAACTGCAAAGGGCCACACTTTGTTGCAGTACAAAGGTTTTGATGTTCACAAAAAAACCAGTCACATGGAAGAGACATAGAATGTCATCACAGTTATCAGAAAGTAGACACTGGAATGCACTCACAACTTCCAAGCACCTAACTTCTCAACAAAAATAAATTAAAAAGCAAGCAAAGTCATATTTAAATATACCAGGGACTTTTAGCCCAAATAATGTTTAGAAATTAAACAAAAAAAGGAAAAATAGATGAATATAATGGAACCAAACTACTTTAGGGATTCTTATTTTGTTATGCTTGCAAAAATATACAGTTAATGCTTTTGTTGAATAGATGAACTTTACTATCATAGACCTAATTCATGACTATCAACCTTTCTACATTTTGCAGGCCTTCCACCAAAACCTCTTCAAAGTTAAAGAGAGTTTAAACAGGAATAGTTAAGATCTCAGCTGTCATTTTCTAGAGGACTCACTGTTACTGTCTGCATTCTTCTGGGTGGTCAGAAAGTAAGCATTTCCTGTAGTACCATGCCAAAAGGATTGCTCATGTAACCTTTTTAAGTGTTGCAAAACAGCTAGCTTATTTTTCTACTTTGTTTTTCTTTTCTCTTTCCACTTTATTCAAAATTGTATGATCCTTCTCTCTTCCAAAGGATCTTACTCACTTTATTAAAAAGAGAGGAAAATGGCAAAAAAGCAATCCCTTCATAGGACAGCTATTTCCCTTGCAGCCGTGTGGCTGCCATCAGTACAGTATCATGGTGCTAAACTGCATAAAACCAGGCATCTAGAAATAAGCTATGGATTAATCTAGTCTGTCACTTTTACACGTATTTAGCTGCTATCTTCCTTCCATTCTATTTCCACAGTAATCTATGAACTTTTGAAAAAGTTGGTACCACACAGAAAAGGTGGATTCAAGTGAACATTTAAATATGCACTTTAAATATTTAAGCTCAAAACACAAATTTTAAGTACATTTGGTAAGTTAGAGTCAGGAACTGCATCACAACATTAATATTTATTTATTAAATTTCTATGCTACCTTACTCTGAGCATTCCCCGAAAGTGTAAAAGATGGTGGGTAACAAAGTTCTGATCTGCATAGTTTGTGTCAGTTTATATCAGAATTTGCAATGCATGATTCATTGAGTACCCTTACATAAAATTTGCACTACTTCAGCATTTCCTTTAGTGACAGTCCTTCTTTGTTCCACAGCCCCTCTAAAACTAACCAAGATGTAATTGCAAGAACCTTTAGCAATCACAGTAATATGCATCCACAGTATACATGAATTAAAACAATTTTCCTGAGACAGCGATAGAGAGAGATGGAGAGAGAACGCCCCTTTTCCAACACAGAAGCCAACAAAATCAGGCCAGATGTTTATGAAACAAGGACTGCGTCATTCAAATGCTGGCACAGATCCAGTCACATGATTAGGATTGAGTGATCCTTGACTTCATACAAATTACTGGGAAGTTGCAGGAACCTTATATAATTATAGTGAAATATGCTGGAGTATCAGATTAGTTTTGTTACTTTTTGGGTTAATTGATTCTTCATGAATAATGGAATCAAATATCAAAGTCATTGGACAACACTGGTTCTCAATTCAGGAACAATCTCGCTCTAACTACCATATTTTACAGGCAGCTCTGGGGTGTTCTTTTGTACCATGTACACACCTTGCAGTATTCTGCAACCTATTAGCAACCAACTGATTAAAGCACTGCCATCAGCAGAAACACGGGGATGACTGCTGGAAACAAACCACAAAGAGGAAAGTATAATCAATCATTTCAGAAATAATTTTATGATTCTTCCCCTTGAAAAAACACGCTAAACTTGCTTTATTTTAATTACAGGATCCCATGTATGTTTCCATAAAATGATATAAAGCAATTTCCCTAGAAAATAACTACATACTGAATTCTGTCATCAGTTTTAGCAACAATATAGAGAAAACAAAGCATTATATACTCACAGGATTGAATCAGGTAACTTTAGATGAATAACAGCAATAGCAATTGCTATAGGAAGATAAACCTCTGTGAGATGCGTTTTGTTTCTGTCAGATGCAGAAAAGCCAGCAAAAAACACCTAGATAATATCCCATTTTCTCTGTTTTATTCTTCAATACCCATGGGGGTCTTATTAATTAGTCATCAAGCAGAAAGCATATATAAAGTTCACACGGCAGCAGCTGTCTTCACAGGAATCCTCCATATCGGATTTTAAAAAGAAATGTCACTTGAAATAGCTGCAGCTACAGCAATGTTCGTAGATGATGCCTCTGCAGGAAAAGGATGCTGGGAGATTTTCCCAATCTATGCTGCAGCCTAATTCTAATCCATCACTGCCTAACTACGGAGAGGGCAGGGGGAAATGGAGACCAGAATCCACTCAATATCTAGCTGACTGAAGGATGCAAAAGAAGGTAGTTAGTTCAGAGTTTTGTGCTTCACTTAACATGAGTTTTTAAGAATGAAATAAACATATGTATAACGGGCTATCAGAAACAAAGCTAATTAATAATTTAGTCCCTATTTCAAATATAGATTTACAAAAAGAAGAGAACATTGGACATTTACTAGAAATTCAGTCTGTAATGCTTGACATTAGATTTTTCTTAAATATTAGGAACAGTTGTGGGATTCCTTTCAGCAAGATAAATAAATGTGATAAACATTGACAACACCAATATCTAGGAAATCACAGTAGAGAATGCAGGAAAGTTGGGGCATGCTGAGATATGTAGGACTTAAACTAGCATAGGACTGTGCCTTTAGAGACTGAAAAATGGCAAGAGAAATTTCCAGCAGTCTTTGTACACCAGTTCAAGTCTGTGGTTTAACTACTACAGACCCCCATTTTCATCATCATCACAATATTTTAGGTTCTCATGTGTATTCTTCCCACATTTGTGTACTGCTTAAGGGTGTGAAGATGTACTTGTTTGTAGTTCTGCAGCAGGGTGGAGTATCTCCCCTGTCACTAGAAGACCTGTTTCTCCAACAGTGGAACAGTCCACTTTTTATGCAAGGAAGGGACATGGTTTGAGGAAAAGCGTAAAGGGACTCCACTGAGGGTCCACTTAAGAACCGGAGCTAGCCCTGTTTGTACCAACCACATATTTGAAGAATGGTTTTGATTGAAAAAATAACAACATGGGGTTCATTGAGAGGTCACAAAATATCTTCCTGCAACCCACAGTTTGGGGAGTGGAAGCCCTAGAACCCGCAAACCTGTTTGAGCTGGTAGTTTTCCAATGAGCTGGCAATCCTATACCCTCCCCAGCCTGTAATGTGCGCATGCTGTGGTGGGCTGTCTGTACCTTGGGAGAGGCCATATGTGGGACTAGTGCAGTGAAAAAGGATGCTTACCACTTGTGTGAGTGCCTACACAGGTAAATTGCAACATTTGTCAAAAAGGGCTTGAGAACTCAACAATATGGGTTTAGAAGTGCCATCCTAATTCATTGATACAAATTTGGAACAACCAGCTTGGGCGCTGCTGTGATGGTTTTCTTACAAAAATAAAAAAGGGTCATTTCAGTTGGGGAGTAGGAATAAAATTAAAGCCAAACTGAAGTACTCCTCCTGATATTGTGTGGTTTTGCCGATTATGGATAGCAAGCTTCATATCAGGCTCTCTTTTTGGGGGCCATCTCAAAATTCTCATGTGATTTGAAATTGGCACATGCAATCTATCATATTGGAGCATAACTGCATAATCATTGCCCCAGGTATACCCCGACTGGCCTATTTGACATTGTTTACCACACATAATAGCATGATTACCTGTGTGTAAGACTATGAGAATTCCAGTGCAGAGCATTTCTGTACTATACTTCACAGCATTATATTTAGAAATAATTATCAACTGCAGAGGCAGGAGCATCTGTGACATTTCCTCACTGCATCTCACAGTGTTTTGTAAAT